TCCTACCCCAACCCTGCAGGAGACGGGACCTCCATTTATTCGTCCCTATCCAAGAAGACTAGAATATCAAACCATTTCTTGATGTTATAGAAAGGAAGCAAATTCTTCTCAATTATTTTAAGACCCTGAGTGTTGGTCTGGCCGGGGCTCGAACCCTCGACCTCCCGCACAACAGTCCAGCGGTCTATCCATTGAGCTAACCGGGAGGCGGTTACCTCCTTTTGAGGAAAAGTTATTTTCACTCAGAGTGGAGGGGAGCAGCTAAAAATTAGGATTAGAGATTGGCGCTAATAATATGACAGAAAATAAACGCCCGCACTCGCTGTGATCAACAGCTTTTCACCGAAGTGGAAGTGGCTAGTGGTGGACATTGATAGAATCACAAAGCGGCGAGGTAAATATCGATAATGATCAATCAATCAATCCTTTATTTAAACACGTGACATCTAGGAGTACAGAAGTTCTCGTTAAAACGTGTACGTGTAAAACGTATACGTGATGGTAATGATGCTTTTATATAGCGCACTTTTTATATGCTCTAATTCGCTTTACATTACTTTTCTGTGGACTTTAGCCAGACTACATTGGGCAGTTTACAACTTTTTGAGAGGAAATTTTGTAGGTCTCCCCAATTTTGGAATTGTTTAAAACAAGGCCAGACCACCACACCAGGAGCTACGTTCCCTACTCTTTGCGATAATAATACTTTTTCAACTCTGAACATTGAATTTGTAGTGTTCAGCCTGGTTCACTCAAATCCGGTTATCAGCTCGTCTTTTGGGTCACCTTTTATGGAAATGCTTAGCGCCAACTGTTGCGGAGCCGGAAAAGGCTCCAAATATCCAAGCGTTCAGAAATTATTGAAATTGAGAAAAACAATTATCCCATTCGCGCACGTTAGATACGAGACTGGTCTTGGCCACGTTGGCGCCACGCACCTCGTTGCTATTTACTTCTCGCATGCCCTATCGTACCGTATCCCACCTTTCGAGTGTGCTTCTTTAAATGTAAGGAAATATATATCCAGCCTGGCATTCAGTAGCTGTCCTTTTTGAGGATGAATTGCTCAAAGCACAGCTGTGATTATGGCTGGTATTTCAGACCAAAAGGGGTTTCCCGAGGAAAGATTTTTGAGTAGATTTGTGTTTCTGAAGAGATTTATTGCTGCTTTTCTATCTAGTCCCTTATCATTTAAGGTGTTACGCATACATTGCTTGAGTGCAACCGACAAATTCTACTAAGAATATTTTGGTGTGAAAGTTTTTGTTGATTGTTCTTCTTCGGATGGTTCATCGTCAATTTCGGCATCCTCACTGTTCATAACAGGTATGAGACTATGCCTCATGCTTTCTACAGTTCCATTTTTTCCATTCCCTTGATAGTATTTTTCTTTGTCCGGGTCGTCTCCCTCAATGAACTCCTCTAGAACTTCGGCTTGCTTCGGAAAATACTCGGTCGCTGTCGTGGACAATCGTTTATCGGTGTTTGTTCCCCAAGAGTTTCCGGCATAATAGCTTAGTTTATCGTTAAGATGACCTTGCGCGTGAGGATGTGTTTTTGTCGCAGATTTCAAGTATCCATTATTATATTTTATATAGCTCGAGTCATAAGAACCTCCTGGGTGGTTTACCGTTTCCTTTGGATTAATCTTGCCCCTATTCAAGGTATGTGATCTTTGGAAAATCGCTGGCTTCTTGTGAGCATAACTGAGCTGTTTAAGAAGATGTCCCTTCAAGATTGATGGGACTTTTGGTCTAAACCTGCTTTGATTTCCGTCTGATAGTGAAAAGGAAGGTTTCGGTTTACAATACTGTGGGTTAAACTGGCCTTTAAGCACGTTTTCCATGGTGTTATATCTGATTGCTGGCTTGTAACGCGCAACTATGTAGGTGTAACGTCGACCATTTTTTCTTCTTTCCGCCTTGCCGATTCCGAATTCTGTGCTGTTTTTCCAGATAACTTGCATAAAGTGTGCAGCTTGTGGTTCATAACCTCCTTTACCCCAGTTGTAAGTGCAAACCTCGTTGTACCTTTAAAGAAAAAGGTCGTGAAAATTAATCAACGTTCCTTCCTATTTCTTCCACGTATCATACTCTACGGTAAAAATTCACAAAGTTATCCTGAACATGAAGTTAAGAGTTTCTTTATCACTAACAGTATCAAGAAATTAAAGTAATTTTAAAATCGTTTGACTCTCTAAGCTTAGTTATACTTGACTGTGTAAAAGCCTCCATGAGACGCCTTGTGAATGGCGAATCCCCTTGGACATTTGCTCGATTCAAATACTGGCACCATGATGTGTTTATGGTTGCATTATCGATAAGAGGATAGCAGTACTTCTTTTAATGGCTGTGAATATATGAGCTAGAATCATATATGTGAACTACGGATTAAGAAATGAATTTAGTATGGTATGGTATATTATGGTATATTATGGTATATTATGGTATATTATGGTATATTATGGTATATTATGGTATGGCTCACCACCATAAGGACAGCTCCCATTCAAGTTGGCTTGTTAGCTCAATATCGCAGAAGTACAGGCCTGAATTTTTTTCAGGCCATACTTTCACCACTGCTTAAGAAGTGTTCGTTACTGCGAAGATCGCTTTCATAATCGGTACTTCTTTTACTCGTAAGACTCATCAACAGATCGGAATTTTCCCATTTTCGTTTGCACCTGTGCCATTTACAGAACACAAAAATAATTGTGGTATTTTCTTTCAAGCCCGGGCACCTCTCAAAACAGTTATGACTAACTATCCAAATTCTGGTTCCGAAACCTACTTAATGGATCTGGCGCCGAGTTTTGAAAATTAAACGGTAGCCGAGATGGCACGTAAGTGCAGTGAAATGGTAACCTTGCTGATTACAACTACAGAAGTCCTTGTCTCACTGAAAGACATTCCTTACTAACTGATTCACTGAGACGCTGGAATTCTTACCAATTTTTCACTGCGCCATACGCAGTCAGTCCACCTAAGACGCTTCCTCCTGACGCTAAATTCTCTCCTTCGTCTTCCTTGCGCAGGACAAGCACGTCTTCGTGCACCATTGGTTGTTTCTTTACTCCCCTTTGTAAAAGTTTCTTTGCAAATTGTTCAGCTTCCCTTAACATCTTTATGTTGATTCTCAGAGGTGGCGAGTTATGGATTGCTCGAAATCTGTTATGAGACTCCAGTGCTGACTTTAAAAATTCTCTTTCTGCGTGTAAAATGAAAGGCAAATGAGTTTTACATTGATGATACCCCCAACTTTGTTTTTCATATCTGTGTTCTCGGGAGGTTGAAAATGACAGTATTTCCTTAGCCTATGTAACCGTCCCTTCTGTCTCCTTGTAGCCAAGTGGGTGAGGCATGAGGGCGAGGGCGATGGTCTTGCAGAACTCTTCAAAGCAATTCCCTAGCATGACAAAAGAAAACGGAAAAGGCCGCTATACAGGCTAGATTTTACCTGTTTCTACTCCAAAAGACGGTTTTTCTTTATGATACCACGTGTCCTTAAATGAGAATGGCACCGTGGTATGTACTCGAGGTCGCACTGCGATTGGCAGAGCTTTTGGCTTCATGCCAAAGCGTGTTGGTGTATATGGCTGGCTCTTCTCGACGTTTGCTATTTCAAAGTGAATATCCACTGATGTGTAGTTAGGACTTATATTTCCAGTTCCTTCAATTTTCATGTTTCCATAACTCAGTGATGCTGCGGACATAGATTTTCCAAAAAATATGTATTAATTTTTATAGTGAAAAGGAAAACCTCATAAATATTTTCTTTTCCACGCACATAAACAGACGCTTACTAATAATACACTTGTATTATTACTAATAATTACTCAATAATACGCCTACTACTTATCGTAGTAAGCGTATGTTGATGTGCGTGGAAAGTAAATATTTATGAGGTTTTCCTTTTCAATATAATGATGAGTCATATTTTCTTAGCTTCGGCAATCAGAACTTCGCAAAGATGTGTTAATTTTCTTCAGGGAAGAGCTACTGCATTCTGTGCAGAAACAACTATTATAACATAACCAAAGTAAAGCGCGCGCTCTGATTGGTCAGTTTAGCATCCCCCATTTGCCCATGGGTGTACGCTGCTCACGTGAGCAAATGCAAAGACTATTTTTTCCGCGCGCGCTTGTTTTTTCTGGTCGCGTAAGATTTGTTAAATAAAAGGGAACTCTTTAGCTACAATGTATCAATGTTATGTTATAAAACAAATGGTAAACACCACAGCGTACACTATTGAGTTATGGGTGCACTTGGGAGGTTTGCTAAGCACTCAAGAAGCTAGAGTCGCTCTCGGCTATCGCCTCGAGCGACTCTTACGCTTCTTTCGTGCTTAGCAACCTCCCGCGTGCATCTATAACTCAGTAGTGTACGCTGTGGTGTTTACCATTTGTTAATTATACTTTTGGCTCGATCTTATCAGATAGAAAAGTAAAGTGAAGGCAATTCATGGCCAAATGGTAAGTTTTGCTCTAATTTTTTCAATAATCGTATTGGCATGCGATTATACGGAAGTGACATATAATTTTTTTTGTTTTCATCTCTTATCCGGAAAGGAGGCCCCTGGCATGACAGATAGACAGAAGTGTAATGGGCCATGTAATGATTTTTGGCTGCTTTCTAGTTTCTAGAAGTAGGAAACTTCAGGTGGAAAGATCATTCGCTAGTCCCCTTTCTACCAGGATCAATATGAAAACAAAGTAGCAAGCTCTTTAACGGGTCAGCATAACAGTATAACTAAAGATGAACGTACTGATGTCAGTTACGTTACATCGCTTCGATCTACTCTCACCTTCCACGCCTGATCTTGAAAAGACGAAAAGCACCGATAAAGTCAGTATCATTGTTCGATGGTGTCCCCTCTTGGAAGAAAGACAGGAAGACATCGAAGTTTTGATGGAGTTTGGGTTTTTTCTAGATTTGAGCGAATACTGCAGTTAGTTTTCCCATCAAAGAAAGCCATGCCGTACCAAGTTTAATTAGAAGTTGGGTAGCAGTCTCAGTTAAAGTAATGTCTCACGGAGTGGCTTTTACGAATAAGAACATTTTAAAGTGTCCGGCCGCCTCTCCAATAAGCCGGTCTATTCGACAAGCGGCCTGTCTCGAAGTCCTTAATATTTTAATCCCCCCTCAAGGGCTCACTCAAGATTTTCATGGTATGTCTCTTTGGAATTCCGTAAGTCGTGGGTACTATATAGGTTGTCTGGTCTTTTAGAGACCCCGATTTATACTCTGAAACTAGTGGTTTTACTGGATCCTGAGCATAACTTCAACGAAATAATCTCTTTTGTAGTCTAAACGTCTGACATTTTTTGCAGACAAGCATTTAGTTTGGACTGGTGGTCATATTTGATGTTAAGGTGTTTGAACAGGTGTTTACGGCGACGGTAGCTAACTGTACGGAACTCCGACGGTGAAGCGGCTGTGAACTTTAAACAAACGTACGTTAAGTGACGAAGCAAAATAATTCAAATAAAACTCGTAGAGAAGTTATTGTGTCGTGGTTGGAAAAACTTCATAAGGAAACCGCTTGGATGGAATCTTGCTCGCCTCTACAACCTGTTGCACACCAGCTTTGTAAATATGACAACATGCAAAATCTTTAGTAGCTACAGATAACCCGTAGTGAATAAACATATGATTGAAGAGAAGCTTCTATTCTTTCTTTTAATTCAAAGGAAGGATTCTTAAATTTCTTTTTAAGAATGAAATATATGTTGACATTTCAGAAATACTTTTAACAGAAAAATTCTTTCAAATTAACTCTTGGGCATGTCTGGATAGCATGGTTGTTGCTTACAATTTTGATAAACCAAAATAAACTTTTTTAGTCTGCAGCTAGCGCTTAGAAGGGTTTGGAAAAAAAGTGTGTTTTAATCTAACCAAAAATAAGTTTTGATATTCCTGTAGGTGTTCAGCGAAAACCGGTAACAGAAAGCTCCTTTAATAAATTGGTTTAGAACAGGTTTCCCAAGAGGGGTCAAGCACCTGAATCAGAAATTTGCAAAAACTTATCGAGTCCGTGATTAAAACATTTCGAAAATATCGCCAATACCATTGAGAAAATGAAAAAATTTCCTTTCGATCTAATTACATGTTAAGCCCATTATTTGTGTGCATTGGGTTATTGACTTTGTAAGCCGGTGGAATTGGCCACATTCATGATAATCAAAACGTCCCATTGAATTGAATTGATTATTTGATCGACGCGTTAATGGACGTCTCCCTTTAAACTGGGGAAACCATAGTTTTAGCTTAAGAAAGCGTAAGATTATTGCTGCTTCAGATATACAATTTCTTTCTTACCTTTCTTAGTGAGTTCGATTCACCGTGGCCCTCGTTGAAAACCACTCACACTTCCCACAATTCATCAGTGATGGCAGGAATAAATTGTTTCCGGGTCAAATTTGTCTCCTAGTTATTGATTCAATTGACCTCTCATTTGCTACCCCGCTTTTCATGGTTACAAAGGTTATGCGCGGTCGTATTAACATAATCGCACTTTCTTGACCCCTTACCAACATTGTATTTTTTTGCATTTCCTGTCTTAAGTCTTTGTGAATTAGTATTGAATCTGTATAAGTTGATCTTTCTCTTATCTGCACTAAAAGTATGACATGATAATTTTTTCTTATCAACTAAGTAGATGATATAAATTGGTCACTTTTGACGGCGTCAATCCTAAAGCTCCGTTTGGAGCGTTTGCTGTTCGTCATTCACTTTGACGAAAGGCTAGCTCTGAAAACGTCAGCTATAGAAACTGATATCTCCACGGCGGCCAACATACATTATCAACTTTAGTTGATAAAACATTGTTATCTTATGATACACCCCACTGACGCAGCGGCACAGTTTCCTCAGAAACTTATCATCTTTATTCATTTAATACAGGACATATTTATCTACAATTTAATCCACACATGCAGCTATAATCTTAGACAAGTAAATGAGAAATCATATCAATAAATAAGTAATACGTAGGTTTTCATAGGATCCTTTGGAGAGAGAGTTGAAAGTTTCTGCCATATGGGTTTGGAATCAAATTTACCTCTTGGCGAAATTTTTGCTCTTGAACACTCTGACTAGCAACATATTGATTTAAGAGATCACTGACGTACACTTTGCATGTTTTCACTCATAACCAGCTTGCCATGTGATCATTCCTGCTCTAGTATGGTCACAGAAGTTATTAAATTGCCTTCATCAGTACGAGTTTGCTTTTAATGTTCAGCCGGCTTTTTTAAGACGTTTTTCTGTCTTCTTAATTGTAGACTTCTTTGCATCCACGACTATGTGACCTTTAACCTTAGGTGACTTATATGTCCTCTTCCAGTCATCATCATCGCCTGTAATCGAGACATTATCCTCGTCGTCCATATCGTCGTCGAGGGTAGCGTCTGCTACATTGACACGAGGTGACAAACTGTACAGTTTCTTTTCATCGGGTTGTACCCTCGTAAAGTCACTCTCATCTTGCGAATCTATAGTTTTCTCCCATGGACCCAGAGGGTAGAACGTTACGCTTGTTAAGGGGTCTGCATTGTTTTGGAAATTACTAAAGGACTGAGGGTCAGGAGGTGGTTCATTGAATTGTTGTGCAACTCCCTTCTGAAAAAATGTACTTGGATATCCTGTGGACATTAAACCTTTGTCCTTATCCGCATCGCAATATGAAGGCAGGAATGAGCCGCTGTCTACGTTACTGTGCATTTCATATGCATTCATAACACCAGGTCTGTAACGTGCCACGATGAAAGTGCAAGGTAGGCCACGGCGAGTTCCAAAAGCTCTTCCTATTCCCATGTGATTGGTTCCTTTCCATATTAATTGCATGAAATTCTTCGCTTCGGGTTGAATGGCGTTCTTGCTCCAGTTAAAATAACACACTTGGCTATACCTGTGGTTGGTTATTTTTTAAAACGTTTAAGTACGATTGATGATTCTTGTTTGAATTAAAAGTCTGCCGTCCATTTGAAAAATGTCAATATTTAATCTGAAAAGGCCGAGAAAATGAAATTATTTTCACGACCTATTACAAAACAAAAGAAGTTAAAAGTTCTCTTGAACTTCTAAGCAGGTGATAAATTATGTTTTTAGATTCCATCAAGAAATCTTTAAGAAATCAAAAAAAGGTTTTTCAGCCGGTTTACTTGTTTACAGTTATGCATGTACAATGAAATGCAGGCTCTCACCATCTATGTATCGCTCCAGTAGATGTCAGCCCTCCCCACTCACTGCACCCTCTTGCCACATTATCACCTTCATCCTCCTTCCGAAGGTTACGGTTTATTTCATGATATGCGACACCCACTTTAGCCAGTCGTTTGGCAAACTTTTCAGCCTCCGCGGACAGCTCCCGGCTAAGTTGCAGAGGAGGAGCATTGTGCAAAGCTCGATACCTGTTGTGGGCTGCAAGGGCGTCTCGCTTAAAATACTCGTCTGCGAAATTTAGTTCAACGGAAGTTTCATCTTACAATGGTGATTAATTTTGAACGCAAAGCAAATATAATTTAATCATAAAATAGTTATGTTTCGTATTGGAGATGCGAATTATTTTTATCATGGAACTATCATTTATAGAGTTTCAAAATATTGCGAAAAGGGATTTAAAGGCAATTATAATTAAACAATCTGCGATAACATCCACAGATGTACTCCTGTCAAGATACTAGAGGTCTATATAATTACCAAATTACTAGTCCAACTGTGAAGACGCTTACCTGTCTCATTGCCATAAAAAGGCGACCCAAAGTCATCCACTGGCATGTACCGCTGGTTTGAAGCTGAAGTCATCGGTTTACCTTGAAACTGACCATCCCTTTCTCCTTCATCTCGGTCTTTGCTTACGCTACCACTATCATCGCTGAAAATTTGCAAATCTTCGACATTTTTTTCTTCAGAATTTTCTTCAGGAAATGGCGGAAGGTTTTCTTGCCTGTCACCAATTATAGTTGTGAATATAGAGTTGGTTTCTTCACTGCCATGATTTTCTTTTGCGTTGTATTCTTGGTAACCAGTAGTATTTTTACCAGGGCCTTCTGCTTTGCTAGTTTCATTAGAACCCAGTTCAGTCTCAAAGAAAACGTCTGTTTGTTTCTGTTCTATGCTCTGGAGTTGATTTCCACTTTTATTAGGTGTTTGTTTGTGAAAATAAGTTGAATCAGGATGCTTCAAACTTACGTTATGAGGAAGAAAATTGTCTGTAATTACCACTGTTTCATTCCCAAATGTTTCCTTTTGACTTTCACTTTGACTTGACGTTTTACTTTGGTTTTGTTTCAAGAGATTTGCCACTTTATTATTTTCTTGTTTATGGAAATTCCCATTTGAAGGGATGTGATTTTGGATATTTTTGGGACTCATTGATGAACTAACATCCTTGTCGTTTCGAAGTGTCGTCTTGTTATGCAAAGCCAACATATTCAAAGACGTTTTGCTCTCATGCACTCCTTGAAGTTTTTGAGGAGTATAAGCTTTCTGATGAAAGGGAGCAGCCCTGTTCCTTAAAATGTTGCTTGTCTTTCCTTTGGTATGTTTTGAAATAGTGAGAAATTTTTTGTTTCCTTTAGTGAATATTAAAGGCGCTCCCATTACGATTATTTCTTCGTCTAAAGGCGTCTTCTCTCTTAAAGCTGATGTGTCCTTCAATTGCTTTGCGAGAATGAATCCTTTGTTGCTATAGTTCGTTAGAGGACTGTGTTTATTTGCTTTTCCACTGAAGTTGCTTGCGCTTGCCACAACACGACCTTTCGGTGAGTGGAACAACCCTTTTAACTGAGTGTTGAGTGCAAGAGGTGGTCCCACCATTTCAAATACTTTATTGGTATTAGTGGTATTATTATCGTTTCTTCCTCTTTGGTGTACAAGGGGGTGTTGAGCTATATATCCATTTTGCAAGCCGCCATTAACTCCTTGCTTCACTTTGTAGAGGGGCAATGAATTCCTGGCTGGAGGATGATGCAGCTGTTTGTTAGGAGCGTTTGACGTCTGTGAAATTATCCTGTGCTTAACAGGCAATATAAAAGCAGAACTCAGTGAAACTGAATTGCCATTAAACGTTCGTAGAAAATGCGGTATTGTCATTCTTTGTTTTTTCGATTGCGACTTCGTGGTAAATTTATCCATCTTGTCAAAATCTGTCAGAAATGATCGAGAGACCGTAGCTGAGGAGATGAATGAGACAATGCCATGGTGATTAATAATTATGCAGCACGGGTAGTGCATGAATGTCGGGTGAAAGTGAACGAAGCGAAATAACGTCGAAAGTTTATTTTAGTGAGAGGCATCTTTAGGTGAATCATCAACCATTTCATCAATCGGTTTTCTTGTTCAAACTTTCAATGCTTATTGTAAGATTATTCATTTAATCTTATAACTATTCGTCTTTCATTTGGTAAAAAGATATTTTAACCGTGAGTTAGGAAATGGTTGAAAAGAGACAAGATAAAAGTAAAACCTATATTTATAGGAAAAAAAAAATGAAAACTGCTTCATCCCTCAACCAATAATCTGGTTCGTAATTTCCTTCTATCTTCTTCGAATTTTCTTTCAAACTCGCGAGGATACTTTGTTGTGATATGAGAATAGCACCATCTTGCGAGTAACATTGTTTAAGTATATCTAGATCTTTAATAGTTTCAAACGAGAGGTCATCCTGCTTACCTGTTGTAGCAGAATTTGTGATACCCAGCGTAACCACAGCACAGTGCAAAATAAATGTCCACATGCTTAGGTGGAAGGTGGATTCTCCTTCCCTAAACCAGATTCTCACTAGAACCTTCATCCACTGACTCCTACTTTACGTAGAAAATAGTTTAAAATTAATTTGTTACAATAAACTACAGTTCCTCGTTTTCATGATATTCGCTGTAGTAATAAAGATCAGTCAACCGCTCATGAATGACAGCTTTTACGCTTTCACGTAATAACAAACGCCAAAACTTCAAAATGCAGTGTTCTGATCCTCTCAGTTTCCCTAGTATTGGAATAGGAAAAAAGTACAATTTATTTTGAGTACACGCGTGCTTTAAACGTGTACTTTAAAGTTTGGAGAAATATCAATGCCACCAAGTCCTCTCCGAAATCTAAACACATTTTCTATTTGAGTCAAGATTACGGAAGAAGGAAGTGTTTGTAAATAGTATCAAATGGATAATGAATTAAAGATGTCACTTTGGTTTACTCGAAAGTAAAAGTCGACTTACCTTCATATAAACAATGTCTATGGCATGTTTATTACGGGAACACCATTTTGACGGCACCAATTAACCACTGAACGCATGTTAACGGGACAGAGTTCTCGGTGAGTTGGTAATTACTATGAGGTCATGTTTGGCCTTTTTTTTTTTCTGACAGTCTTAAAGTTGCCTGGTAATCACGCCCCTTCCGACATTGTGCCACCAATGCTAGCAGGTGCAGGTATTCAAAAGTGAAAATTTAATCTTCTTCATTTCTGGTCTCAACTTTATATCTTAGACTGGCCACCTTGAAGACTGAATGAAGTCGAGTTTCACTTCACTGAGCCTGTCACAAACATTGAGGTTATGGGCTCATGATAATTAATTTTATGATTTACAAGAAAGGAGAAACACATGCTATTTACCAACCGGGATCTCTGTATTGGAAAAAACCTGTGTGCTCGAGGTCTTGGATACGGCCCGAGGCCGTAGGCCGCTTTTCGTATGTGCTGTAAACGAATCACGATGGATTGCTTAGCTCGCTTTTGAATACCAATGTCCGTGCAAGAAAGAATTTAATAATAATCTTTGTATAACATTTGTAAGGCAAAAAATTCATCCGTGGTCCTAGTAATCTGTTCTGCATATTTTATCATCTCTTCATTTGTTTCAACGATCAGCATCGCTCTACAGTGCAAATACAACATAAAACTGACGGTTGTCTCACTCAGTAGGCTTTTTTGAGCCATAGAGCGAAAAAAAAGCTTTTCGAATTTCCTTAGGTGAACCGCGAGTTTAGAACTTTGAGTAAACTTTTCGCTGTAGAGCTTGTGAATACTGCCAGAGAAAATCATTGCTTGGTAGCTTTCGCTCGAGTTCACAGAATTTGTTATTCTGACGAGTACTTGACACTCTCAATGTTCAGCGCCACCTTCAGTTGTGGATAAATTAGAAGAGGATCTGAACGCTCATGAAAATTTATCCAAATTTGCAAGAAAACGAATCATCACAATTCGAGGGCAATTTAAGAATATCATTTGGAGCTACGAAATTTGTTCTTTGAGCTTAATTTATTTAATCGCTTTCACCATACTTTCAATACTAAAAGGACTAAAATACACATATGAACAAGACAAAGAAGAGAACGGAGGACAAGGGTGCGGGACACACAACAGAGCGAGGCTCCAAATTAAGTGTGTCCGTACGAGAAATAAACAAATATTAACTATGTAAACAATAGACAGTGTAAAAAGTATATAAAAAAGTATATAAAATAATAAAAGAAAAAACGAAAACGATAGGAATAAATCCCTCATGCGACCGATAGAAAGTCCTAATAGCAGCAGTTACCAACTAATAGAAGATCACGTGACCTACTGCATTTGCAGCAGATCGACTTCCAGGTGTTGAAGTTAGTGACGTCATAGTTTGTACGAAAAGCAGCCGAATAGCGTTGGAGTACGTGAGATTTAAACTGATTGAGAGAACTAATAATACGAGTGGATACAGGTAAGGTATTCCAGAGTTTAGCGACACGATTAAAGTAACTAAATTGAAAAAGCTTTGTACGGCACTTAGGAATTAGTACGTCTTGATCAGAGCTATGACGAGTAAGACGGGTGCCTTTGGGCCTGACATAATCAGCTATGGGTAAGGTGTAGTGGCGAGCGCGACACTTGAAATAGAAAATTAAGTCTTTCACTTCGTGCCAGCTTAAGGCAACGAGGCTGAGATTTAAAGCAATACGTAAGAGCTGCAC